AAGTGGATTTACAAAATGATGTGGCTAAATCTATGATGTTGATTTCAAAAAGTGTTTTTTAAATCATTGATGGCAAGATGCCACATCACATTTTGTAAACCATTTTTGTAATCCATCTTTGTACACATAGCATGTAATGCTGCAAGATTGTGAAAAATAAAGATTATCCACCTTACTAATAAGCATGCACAAGAAATTTTAGTACTTTAACTTTGAAGGATGATTTGTTATATCGGGTACAGTAGTAGACAAGATTGGACAGTATAATGAACGGTTTTTCTTTTTTAAGTACTATCTAGTACAATATAATTCATGTACTGTGCAGAAATCCACACCGTGCGGAGTTTAACTCCGCATGAACTCCACAAGGTGCGGAGGATTACGCCGCACTCTGTGCGGAGTGAAACTCCACACAGTGTGGAGTTCAACTCCGCACAGTCTGCACTGTGTGCGGAGTGAAACTTCGCACAGTGCGGAGATATTGGTCATTTTTTTCTTCTCATTTATGTTTACTGTGAAATAATTAAAGAGTGAATCTGACGGTTCATGGGCAGGGAAAAGCTAATGAATTGAAACTCTTATTTAAAGGAAAAGGGCAAAAAAAGATCATGTCTCCGCGACCTGACTGACCGGTCGATCCCCGTCTTTCGAGGCATTGCCCCCCGCTGTCGTCTCGAAAATATTATTGACAAAGATATTGACAGATGGGAAAATATTATTTAATGGTGAGCTCAGTGCTACGAAGAAAATACGTCCCCAATATGACGATCTGATTACTGATGAGGTTGATATATTATCACTTTAACTTGAATGAATTTGTCTCTGTGTGAATTTTTTTTTTCCATTTTTTTCTTGATTCTTGTTTCAGGAATAACTTCATACAAATGAACATTTTCTGGTGAAGCAATGAAAAAATTGAAAAAAAAAAAGTTATTTGTGCTGATATGTATACAAGAGAAATCTAAGGCTCAGATAAGAAGTTTCTTATTGCTTACTAATCTGCATATGCTAGAACAGATAAGGCATCTAAAACACTTCAACAAAGACACACACACATTTTGTAAAAATTAGTCTTATGAAAGTCTTGAAGAAATGCTAAATCATTGCAGGGACAAACCTAGCATTTTGACACACAACCAAAAAAGAAAAAGGTAGGGCTCCCTAATATGTCCATGGAAAAGAACTTGGGCAGTTGCCATCCCATAGGAAGTGAACAAATCAAAGGCTTCATAGCTTAGTTATGATGGAACAGATCTTCGATACAATTCAATTGCAACCAGAATTGCACATCCATAAATATTAAAATTGTTTTCCGGCAGTATTCTTGACGTTTGTACACAAATTAATACAGGCGATTTGAGAATTGTCAGCTCATTTTCCAGCTCAATATTGGGATCTTGCCTCAAGAGGCGGTTTATGTTTGAACACAGTAGAAACACATAAAATACAAATGCCAGCAATTGCATGAATAGTAGCAATCTATGCACCTCGACTTTCTCAACCTTCCTCACCGAACTCCTTCGTGAAACGCTCACGAACATCAAGGTCAGCTTTGCTCACCGTAGGCCTCTGTCTTGCGAGAACCTTATCGAAGTCCATTTTTGATATCGGAGGTGGAATGATCTGCGAAAGGGCATTAATCAATAGTCAGTCAGATGTACCGAGAAACGCTCAATTTCTAGAAATAGCTTCAGTCAGGATAAGATGATGAAAGGTAACTCACTCTCATACGCGCAGAGAGAGGTAAAAATGAGTCAGGTGGTCCAGGCCTGGCATGCTAAAGGCCGGGCCTAGCGCTGTCAGGCACTCCTTTTTTTCTTTTTTAAGAGGAGGTGAGGTGAGGTGAGGTGGGGTGGGGTGGGGTGGGCGGGCAAAGTCCAAGACTCTGAATTAGCCCACTCGAAAAAAAAAAAAAATTGGAATCGGCTAGGTTCAGGCCCTACTACACCAGCCGGCATGGGCCAGTTTTCCGTCGATGCACCTTATAATAATTATTTAAAAATAAAGTACAAAGGACTTGAGGTTTAAGTCACAAACAGTAGTTAAATAATCAAATCTAATACCTGTGAAGCAAGTCCTTCAGCAGCAACCTCTTGCATTGATATCTGGACGGCACCTGATTGCTTTGGTCCACATGGCATCCACATACCGTTAGAAGTCTTGATGAAAAACATGGCATCTTGCGTTTTCCGGACAGGCTCAAATAGGACATCCTTAACCTGTTAAACTCATAAAATGGACATCAAAATAAGCTGCAAAAAGTGTGGGCGAGCACCCAATATCCAAAGGAGTTCTATTTAACATTAGTCACTCAATCTATCAGCCACACACTTGCGCAAACAGAAATATCTGAACCAGAGAATCCTTCGGATTTACGAGCCATGTCTTCAAAATCTCTTTCAGTCAAGTTGTTAGGGGTATCTCCTAAATGCACCTGCATAAGAGTGACAAATACACGCAAAAGAGCGTCTGTTAATCTTCATTCAACTCTCTTC